CCCCCCCCCCCCCCCCTCCCCGTGGTGGTTTCCTTAGGCGCGTGGCAATTTCAGGAACGAGGAGGTCGCTTGCGTGATGGAACGACGCTTCTTCAACAGCGCCCGCAACGCCTGCGCTCGCGCAGGAGCGGCCGAACAGCAAGGCCACAAGGAAAAGTTCATGGTGGCCCCTGGTGATTGCGGGGCCGCTGGGGCGGTCTGGTGGACTCGACGAGGTGCGGGAGGAAGGGGGAAAAGACCGCACGAGTGGCGGATGGATGGACAGATAGGCAGGCAGGCGTAGAGATCGAGAGAAAGACGGACAGACAGGCAGATATGCAGGGAAGCAAATGGGCAGGCCGGCGTACGGACGGATAAGACAGATAGGCAGACAGGCGGACAGACAGACAGACAGACAGGCAGACAGATACATGGGCAGAGAGAGTCATATGGCCAGGCAGACCTGCAGGCAGACTGATACACGGACAGAGGGATGGGCAGTCGTTCGGACAGACAGAAGGAGCTACCGGATGTGGGGAAGAGGGTGAGGGAAGGGATGGAGCATGGCGTGTTGATACAACGCTCATACTCTTGAGGGCATCAGGCGGACCCCACGCCGACGCTTGCTTTTGACCCGCCACCGCCACCACCGCGAACAGGGGAGTGATGCACAACAAGCCCTTGGGAAAGCGCTTCACACAGTGTCCAAGCGTGCTCCTAGGCATCCCACCGTATCTGCCGCTAGACTTGTCCCCGACAACTCAAGAGCATGATGACCTTCGGGCGGGCTCGAAAAGCCTTTGTGATCTCACCAAGCTTGTTGCCAACTCGTCCCTTCTACCCACCGCCGGAGCTTTGCCATTGGCTCGTTTCAAAAAGCTAACCCCGTGTAGTTTTTCTTTGTACATTGCTTGGCTCCACCTTGTTTCCATTCTACAGCCCAGTTTTACCCCCCACCACCCCAAATATATTCAGCACCTTCACTTGTGCTCTCTCGCGATGACCACTTTTCGGCGGTTGTACATATGTAACTGCCCAGCGCATCTGGAGGGAGGGGCGGCAGTTTCTGGCCCCGGGGTGCAGACGCTCGACATTCTTGTCGTCGTCGTGCCACCAGAGACTCTGCTCGACCGACTAGGCCGTCCGGGAGCGGGGGGGCGGGGTCCCGGAGACGGCGGTGGCGGCGGCAGCGACTTGTTCCGGGGTCTGGGTCAATTCGTGGACGGCATTAGGTGTGTGGTGTTGGAACAGCTGCTCCCATCGGCGACCGGTCGAAGGGGGGGAAGGGGGTGTCAAGACCGTGAACACCGGGACCCCCCCCCCCGCCCCCCTTATCTTGGTAGTCGGGGTTGACTCAGTTCAGAATGGGGGAGGGAGCTTGTTGGACGAAATATTTTAGTGGATATGAGCCGGGTGTTCGAGTAGCGGTTGCTCCTCGGGATTTTCCCGTACATAACAGTTCGCCTCCTTTCCGTTTCGGTATGATACGGTACGGTTCGGCACGGTTCGGCGGCGTGCGGTTCGGTACGGTATGGTACGGTGCGGTACAGGCGCGGTGCGTTTACGGTTCGGTACGATACTCACGCTGATAGAATAGACTTGCCAGTGCTGGTGAGCAAGGAGGAGCTGCACGACGACTATTATGGACAGGAATGTGATGTTGTACTCGAAGGACAGCAGTGGTGTAGCTGCTAGTTTTGCTTGGTTTGCTTGGGATTCCGTGTGGTATGGTTGTGGTTCGACACCCCCCCCCCGAGCCCTCTTCGCGTCCTCGATCGGAGATAAGCTTGTAGAATATTGAAGCAAGATCGAAACAACAACACGGTTTGTCCACATCTGACCCCCCCCCTTTCTCTCGCGGTTTCTCGGATGCGGTGCTCTGCCCTTGCCGTCGTAGATCATCGGCCCCGGGATTCAGTCGCTTGGTGCTCGTTCTCGAGGGGGCGAAGGTCGCCATAGACAAGCGGTGGGCCGCCTCGGCGCGTAGGTAGGTGCAGTGTTTTTTTTTGCAGACAGCAGCAGCAGTTCCGTAGTGGCTAGGCACTGCTGTGTTTGGTGGTGTGGTAGTCAGCCCGGGAACCAAAAAGTTGTGTACTTAAATCTCAGCGTGGTAGGCCGGGGTGTTCCACACCTCTTGGTTAAAACATGCTTCGTTTCTTCCGCTCCGCTGGCGTTTCTTTTTGATTCTTCTTTCTGTGTTGCCACTGCTGTACTGCTGCTGCTGCTGATGATGATGATGATGGCTCGGGTGCCCCGCCTTGTGTGTGCTTGATGTTTGCCTGTTTCGGCGGGAACCAGCAGCGGCAGCGGCAATGGCAAGGGGCCCGCCGGACGATGCGCGAAAGACGACGAGTTCGAGGACGCGCAGTGCTGGCTCCTCATCCACAAGGTGGGGAGGGACTGGATTTCCCGCTCTCGCTCTTGCTCATGGTATGCAGTTTCTCATGCTTGTGTACCCCTCCCTCCCCCCCCAAAGGCTTGCCCGGCTTCCAAAACTGCAGGGTAACATGAAAGGCGTGTGGCCTCTATTCCTGTGGTGGGCGGAAAGATCCGGAGGATGGGTGGCGATAGCCGCGCAGCGTGCATTATCTTGTAGTTTTTTTTCGTGCGTGCATTGAATATTAATTGCATGCTCCGTGTTTTGTTAAACGCGTGAGGTGGTGCCCTGAACGGTCAAAGAGAGGGGGGGGGGGGG